TGTTTCAATTGTCCTGGGGCCAGGAATAGGTCAACATGAGGGGTATAGCCTGTGATGTGTGACCATTTCTACAACAGAAAGTAAGTGAGTTCCCAAGAGCAACCTTAAGCTAGGATGGCAAGCTTACCTGGTATGGGAGCCTGGGAGAGAGGTACTCCAAACCAAGAAGCAGAGGCTGGAGATTGAACTTCTATGAAGAGGAAGGCATGGGGAAGAAGACGATGCAGCTGTCCTGCTGGGCATGTATCAAAGCTGGATTTTGGCCCTTTGTGACTTGTCCTAGATTTGTCACCAGGTTGACCTAGGTGCTGCCACACTAGGTGTTGGGAGGAGCAAGGTTAATGACCTATAGGTACATCCAAGGTGAAGAATGCCTGTTTAATAGACATTGTTTGGGTTGTGACTTCAGTATGTATAGTTGGAAAAGAGAAATAAGGTTCTTGCCTTGGACCCAACAGTGAAGAGTGGACTGTACAGTATTCTTCTTGGTGTTAGAGATCTAAGTTTTTGAGGTCAGCTCAAAAGAGGTGGTTCCATTTACTGATGAGGAAAAGCATGAAATGCTAGAGAAAGCTAGAATGATGTCTGATGCCTAAGTTCCTGATACCCAAGTTCCATCAGAACATGGGTCAGTGGTCTTGGGTTTGGGGGAGAAGGGAATGAAGGGGAAAGTAATACAGTAATAACTAACATGACTTAATGCTTGCTTGGTTGTGTTAGCTGTGATTCCTGACAGACATGGTGCTTCTGAGACCTCCTAAGATCCTGCCTGAGCCTGACAGGGACAAGTAACAGCAGAATTCTGACAAGGTCACAGAGTGGCTAAAAAGGTGGATTCTAGAGTCAAACCAATTGACATTCACTGTGCAACTTGGATAAGTTGACCTCTCTGAAGCTTAGGATCCTTGTCTATAGACATGGATAAATAACAGAAATGATGTTAAATTGTGCTAATTCCAATGGGGTGTTGCATATAAAGTGCTTGGCCCAGTAACTTAGCTGCACAAATGGCAGCCAGATCTGCTATTAATCATAATCTCTACAGGTTTCTAAGATCCTTACAAAGACAACAGTCCTCAGGACTGTCCTTATTAGGGCAGAATGCCTGCTTGCTGCTCTTTTTATACATGTCCCCTTCCCATCCCCAGAAGGCTACTGGTGCCACCAGGTCAAGCCACAGTGTCTTCTGCCTGTATTGTTGCAGCCAACTCCTAAATGGTCTCCCATTTCATTTGTTACCCCTACCTATTTATTTTTCAGCACAGTATCCAGAACAATCATTCCAAAGTTAGAATCTGATCATGTTACTTCTTTGCCAGAAACCCCTCACTCTGCCCATTTTAGTTCCTTAAAAGGCATAATTCATTCTACAGCTTTCAAGTCCCTTATGACCTAACACCTGCCAACCTCTCAAGTCATCCAAAGTGTCAAGTTTTCCTGACCCTGCTTGTCTCAAGCTTCACCTCCACCCCCACCTCGGAACACACTCCCTGACTCTACCTGGCTTACTACTCAGGTATACAGCACCTCCTCAGAGAAGCCTTCCTGGGCTTATTAATGTAAATGAAGTCTCACTATTTACTCTCATCCTAACACCGCATGGGTAGCTAGCAATTTCTCTGTAATCTTTGTGTGTCTCTGTGTAGACAATCCCCTTCAGGAGGCTGGGTCCTGCCCCATTCTTCACTGTCTTCTCAGGGTGCTGCCCTAGAACAATGTCAGGAGCATAGCGGGCATTCCTTAAGTGGCTTTTTTAATTTTCAAATTTGAATGAGTGAATGAGTGAGTAAACCAATATCTCAGCAGGAGTTCTGAGAGCTTCTATTCTTCCTCCCTGAATGGGCTGGTCTTGTCTGGTGGTTTGCTAGTAAAAGATCATGTACAGCGGTGCAGGCCCAGAGAGCGAGGAGACATCTGGACCACCAGCTTCCTTGCTTATGACACACAGGACTTTAATAAAACCCTTTATGCCATGCCCATTTTAGTTCCTTAGGGTCCACAATTCATTCTACAGCTTTCAAGATCCTATATGATTTATCACCTGCCAACCTGGATAGAGGGTCTATAACTTATTCCTTTCCATGTCAGGAGCACTTGGCACAAGTAGAAGTTCAACAAATGAATGAGTACTCCAAACTCTTTCCTAGTTGGAATTTCCTAAGACACACTGGCAACAGGAGTTTTGGAACTCTTTTGGAGGTTTAGAACAATTTTAGCTGTAGGTGTCAATCTAGAGACCAGAGGCCCAAGAAGACCTTAGCAATGAACATGTGCAGAACAGACCAGCTGGCTCATGCTGGCCCTCTCCAGGCGAATACAGCCACAACTGTAGCGACCACGTGTAAAACACAGGCCCACATTGGCCGGGCCTCATGAGTGTTTCAAGATGATGCTGAGTTTTTAAATTGCTATGAAGTGCCAGCAAATTGAATTCATTTTAATTCAACTTCTGAGCAACATGTGGGGAAATACGTCTGTTTGACTGGTGGGCAGCCTTAGCAGAAGGAAAGTGAACATTTGAGAAGAAAGCTGAAAGTAGGAGTAGAGCTGGCCTCTAAAGTCTCAGTCCTGGCCCTTAACGTTGTGGCTCCACGGGCTACATTTTGTACCTGCCTCGAACATTTAGCAGTGCCAGGAAACCAGAGAACCAGCAAAGCAGCAAACCACTTGTTTGAGCACATAAAAGACCAACGGCTTCTAGGCTTTTCCTGGCAATGAAGACATAAATCACTTGTCTGTCAACCACTGGCAGTCTGGCCGGTCCCTGTTCCAGAGTTGAGCCAAGAGACGCAGGGTGTGGAGGAGTTTTCTGGGCCAGAACCATGAAGGGGAGGTTCAGCCTGAACAGGGTCCGGCTGATGGCAGAGGCTGACACTCTAGGTCACGTCAGGTGGTAAGCGACTTTCAGAAAAAAAAACAAGATAAACCCAGGAAGACATCCAGGGTCTCAAGACTCCACAACCCCTGGATGATTGGAAATGCCACTTACAGAGGTGCCCATTCCATTCCTGGCACCGTCACCCTCCTTACCCCTAAATAAAATGGACATAGACACATGGCATCTTAGCAGCTAGCTGAATTAAATTAGAACTGTTACTGCTCTTATGATTTAGCTCAACTATCCATCTTTGTCTAATTGCTCATTTAAACTTAGATTATTATTT